ATAATGCCAAAGCAATCGGAATAGTTGCAGAGTACTTCATGATGAAGCTTTGATTTGAATTACTCATTTAGCTCGTCGTCCGTCTAACTTAATCGGCACAATGATTTTCCATTAATTAAATTAAAAGACAACTTATGAAATCGTTGATTAGTAACACCATTTTATCACTGTATGATGAGTTGAATAAATAGCCGAGGAATACCACCTCGGCTACTTATTCAACTCATCATATACGGTGAAATTAAAAGACAACTAGAAGATATATTACAAAAAATTGATCAGAATTTCATTTGCTATATCAAACGAACATTTTCAAACATAGGATGGAAGAGGTTGTAATTGTGCATTAAGTTTTTTTCCCCCATTTTTTTCTCTTCCTTTTGTGTATTATCACCTTTTTTAGGTTTATCAACGTTGACTTCCTCTCTATTTTAAGTATATCCATTGCCTCTATTTTCACACTAAGAACCCTTAGCTGGTAATTGAAGATCGCAGAGATGCTCATGGATCAAACATGGAAAAACGATATAGTGTTGAGCACTAACTGTTTAGATCAAATGGAGCCAGCAGATGACAGTAACGCTGAGCCCTGGACCAGCCCTATACAGACTGTAGTTCTCAGCAGTACTGCCATATCAACTGGCTCCATTTGATCTAAAAAGTTAGTGCTCAGCACTATATGGTTTTTTCCGTGAAGTTAGGGAGCTACTGTTAGGAATCCTATTAAAGGATCTAAATTTTAGAGCATGAAGATATGCGATGGAAAACATGTCACCGATTTGCATGTTTATTACGGAAATTACGCTTAAACACTTACTTCGTCGCAAGCAAGTGGAAGTGTATGCACGGGTATTGGTTGCCATGACAAGTCAGGTTTCCAAATTTGTATCCCTACTGGAGGATAGAGTCCCGCCAAAACAAGCGCCGCACTCATTATGCAACGGTCGTAATCACTCGAAAGAACATAAACCTCACCTGGTGAATATTTAGAAGGTAGGAAACCATCATACCGATCCCTTAGGAAGCGACCGAAGTTGTGCATTCTGACTTTCCCTCTCTGAAATTAAGTTGATCAACCAAGGAAACGGGTATCAATGAGCGATAGAGAGACAAAATGTCAAAAGTATCATTTAGAAATAATACAGAAACGAAGTCAAATAATAGGGGGAACTAAACATTTTTAGAAACCATGATTTTTATTGTTTTCCAACCCTGGCCTAACTTGTCTTGCCCGGAAGAACTTCAGGAGCTGGAAATTTTCTGGAAAGAACAAATCAATTACTTTTTGACAGAAGATTTTTCAGATACCTGGAAAATTAGTACTCATCACCCAATGCGTCGCAACAACCACTGGCCAACGTACAGATCAATTTGTATGGTAAGTTGTTTCGGAATAATAGTTATGATCAAATATTATTTTTGTTTAAATATAATTATCATTGTTTCTTATTTTTATTTTTTTTTTGTGCGTTTCGACATATGTCAAGATGCTCAAATCATTCCGTATGTCATCATTAATTTCTGTCAAGATTACGCTCGGTATATCCTCAAATATTTCCGGAGATAAACTCAGTATCAGAAACATGGAGCCTCACGCTACCTCCCCAGTGGCATTTTCTGAACGTATGCTAAGTAATAAAAGAGTGAATTACGATTTTAATATTATAAGTCTATCACTAATTAAAATGTCTTAAGCAAAAAAACGAAGAAATTATTAGGTGATAATATAAAATTTACTGCGAGTCACGATTTTTATTAAGCACGCGAGAAGAAAACCCTATAATAGGCAACTATTGTTGCACAAAGCATGTTCTATGACCTAATTTGCAAACCTTAAAACTGGAGGCAGAATAGGAAAAATCGTAGCCTTCATTCTAAGTTCAATTTCAATTTTACTTCTTCTAAATTTCCAATCAGATAACGCCTCTGACCTCCACCGACATTTTTGGTAAGGCGCCTAAAATCTTAAATCTAGCCCTGGAAACGAAAGATTCATAGGCAAATTATAATAGTCATGATTAATAGTTTTTACCGGTAACAACTCTCCCATTCCTTCCGGCCAAACAGTGTCACCTTTATATGGATCAAGAGGATATGTGATCTCGGGAGCTCTATCTCCATGCCTATGTACCTGTGAAAAATTGTTTAATTTTGTCAGCATGTCATTAGTTATTTATTGGAAGGCACTTTAAAACTAATGAATAGCTTTAACTTTTGCATTTTGAGCTTTTGACAGTAAGTTTTTATTTTTATTCAAGTGTTTCTAATCAACAATTCTTCTGCAATTATTCTGCAAAATCTGATGTAAAATTATCGGTCTATTAAAAAGAAAAAAAAAGAAAAAAAAAGAAAAAAAGAAGAAAAAAAGAAAAAAAAAGAAAAAAAAGAAAAAAAAGAAAAAAAAATCTATACGAGTAGAAATTTTGAGAGAACACAACAGAGTTGCATTTTTGTCTTATTTTACAATTCATTTGATTCTTAGAAGGAGTGTATACGCTTCTTGCAATCATGACTCACGAAAGTCACAACAAGTTCACTGTGATTTCTTGTCATTTGCATACAAATTTTTATGGTAAAATTGGATTTGTATGGTATTTAATATGAATAATCTTTATTATTATGTGTGTAATTTTTTACTCACGATGCTTAGAGACCGCAAAGTTGATTCAGCTTTCGGTATGCGACTGAATACTAAAAATCCAAAACATGCTGTCACCAAAGATATAAATAAAATCACATTCAACATAAGACCACGATTCTTACGAGTCGAAATGACTGTTTTACTATTTCTCATTCTGCACTTCCTATTGAGAAGATTTGTAATTGAAATATTTGAGAGAAATAAAATGAAACTATTACAATGTAAAATGAGTAAATGAACCCTTATCGTTTATTGAACACACAAAAAGGTCTAGTAAAGGTACATAATTTGACATGCTTTTAACCGAGATTTCGCTACAGCATGTCAAGTTTACAACCTAGGGGCACTATTGAGTAGGACTGATTAGAAGAATGAAGTGATAAAACGCTGAATATGTCACTAATTTTTCATCTGTGCCTTTTGCAATCTATGTTGAAGTCTCCTCAAGCCCCCCTTCAAATCATACTACAAATAGAGGATGATATGGTAGACGAAGAGAGGTAATTATCGCGTGTACACTCCAAATATAAACTCCAGTTGTGACAATCTCTCAAGTGCCAAATCGTTTTTTTAAGTCCATATTTCATACTCATAAGGATTTCTTCCATTTTTTAGTACTTCCCGCCAACGGGTGCAATGTTTGAGTTCCAGAAAAACAACCTTGGATATGGAGATATGAACCTTTCAAGTTCAATAATATCGTGATAAAGTAAGAGGCTAACAATGTAAAATCTGGCTTTAAAGTACACTCTGCTGGCCTACATTTACTCTTTGAAGAAGAGTGTCACAAATAAATTAGCATGATCGTGGGTGAGATTGAGACATTACTCGTAGATAGCACAACTTGTCACAGAAATTTGGGAGGGGTGTCTAAAATTTGTCACCTTCTTTTAAACCCGGACTAGCACGTTGAAGCATTTCCGACACATATTCAAAATATATCCCACGAGATAAAACTTTTGTACGTGTTATGGACACATGTTAAAATTTAATTTAAAGCCTTTCCATCGAAAGTCTTTAAAACCTTCCGCATGCCGTCCAGGAAGCTGTTGAGAACCGCATCAGATACGGTTTCATTCCTACGCATTTATGTGATAAAAAATAAAGTAGATTAAACGTTCTGGATCTATTGAGGATCAGCTAAATATGCAACATTGAAAGATTCTTATCACACACATTCAAAATATTTCTACCAATGTCGCCAATTTCAAACTTCAACCCAGTTTCACATTATAAACGTTTCTGCCAGTTACGAACATTACTTATGCCACTTATTTTTTCTCACACCGGATTGCAATATCGTTGATACAACATGTGTGCATTTTTTTTAATTTTTCAAGACTTCATTGGAAAATTTCTTCGTACTACAGCTTTAGAGAACGAAGGGAAACTTCAAATTTGGTATTATGTACATGTGTGGTAAAATGTCATGAAATTTAAAATAATGAGATCTCTCTTAGCAAATTTTCGGCAGTTCTAGAAATTTGCGAGACGTAAGAAATTTACTATAGAGAATTAGGGACCAAAGATCATAGCTCCTTGCATTTAAGCGCGGGTTGCATACCGAGTCCCTGAAAAACACGTTTAAAAAATGTCACGGATTTCATAAGTTGCATAGGCACGAAAAAAATTTCCGGAAATATCTCACGGAAATTTCCAGTTTCACATCTTTCTTACGTTTCAAACCACCCTGATTTGGACGTATTTTTATCAAACAAATTTATGTGCAAGTGAGAAATATAAGATGTGCTCGTCAGTTCTCTGGCCGTAAGAGTGAATGAGAATAATAAAGCGCCAGTGACGTCAACGGAGATGGATGCCTTCGTCGCGGCTATTCGTAGTGGTTATTAACTCATGAGCCCTGTCCACAACGCTCTCGTGCCATGCCCGCGGCTCATATATCTCGGTTGGCACATAGTTCTTTTTGCTGCGAATTTAAAATCCCGCTATTCCAATTCTTCAAAAGAAATCACGCCCAATTATACATTGTTTCTTATGCAGATTTCTAGAGCACACCCCATATTTCTCACGTTCACATAGTTCTGTTTGATTGAAATACGTCCATTTCTGAATTCAAGATTAAATGCCTCTCACTGGAGCTTTAACACTTGAACGATTCGGAAAATTGAGAGGGGGGATTGAACATCGGAAATAAACGTGTTTTGGCTTCAAAAGTTCCCTGGAGGGATTTCTGGCTTTCGGTGAAGCGGTAGTCTATGTTTAAACTATTAACATCAAAGACTGGGGTTTAGAGCTCTCTTTAAGATCCGCAATAATTATTTCCGGAGTTACAGTCGGCCTGCCACGCGAGAGGGACTCGGGACTGTCGCCTCGTGTTGAGTGCCCGTGCCGGCTTATTACTGGATCCTTGGCAAAATTAATTTACCCGCGCAAAGCATACGACTTCGACTGGTGGTAGTCGCGCTTTCTTCCACATCCAGAGCCCCTGGGGACAGTCATCTCCTGCCCTTTGTTGCCAAGTTACGTCTCTCATTACCCAAACTCATTACACAAACGGTAATCAAGGATTGCGCGAAATTTCCAAGGAAATATATGAGGATTGTGCAAAAAAGGCACACGAATTGCGCGAATTTAAAATTAAGTTAATTTAAGGTAGAATTTTGGCAAAACAGGAAACAGATGGAAAATAAACGCATTTTTATGTTGACACTAGTTTGAGTTGGTTTGTTGACAAGTTCGATATCTACCTGCTAAAAAGATTGAATAATTGTTGTAGGTGAAAAGAACTTTCCTAAATTTTCTCGGAGAAAAATTTTTAATCGGGAGAATTGAGGCAACGTGAAAATGCTCATACGGCGTCGAAACGCAGGCCTTTTAATTCGATGCCGCGATTTATTCTAACGCGAGCTCGAATAATCGCGCCAAACACAGTGCAGCCGGCAATAAACGTATATTAGCGCCTGCAAGACTCCAGGAATACTTCACGCATTGCGCCAAAAAGTGCGGCGGTGCCCATATGAGCGCCTACAAGACTGCATGAATACTTCTCGCATTGCGCTAAACGCAGCGCAGTCGGTCAGTTGGCGGGGAACGCATATTAGCACCTACAAGACTGGAGTAATTCTGTAGGATTGCGTGTCATTGTTTTTGATTAATATATATTAAATACCCGCGCAATCCTATGCATCTCCAAAAAGGTAAAAAAAGAGGCATTCGCGCAACCCTATCGCAGCCTACACTAAGATCTACCAAAGATTTGGATCGGTAGGGGGTGTGATCGTTCTCAAAAACGTTTCTTCCCAGATCTGCCGTGCCGAGTGAGGACGCCGTATATCCATTGAGATTTTCCCTGGTTTTTTTAACTTAACACTTTATAAAATAAAAACTGTTTTACCTATGCACCTCAAATTTCAGGTTAAGTTCTTGACAGTATTTGCGAAAGAACTCTGTAAAAATACCGTCCCAAGGTACACAAGTTTTTCTGCTATTTTACATTGTTTCCAAAAAATGTAAAATGGCGTTTATGGCGTTTTTGCGTTGCATGGCAGATGATGTAGGATGAATTTTTGAAGGTCATAGGTGGCTATATTGAGAGGGTAACATGTCTTTCAGGGGCTGGTCACATGTCTTTCAATCCGCTTTGCGGCAAAGCGTAAACTCCAGGAATTTTCTTTTTGGAAAAGGCTTTTTTCTTGATTTCCTTCCACCTAGATTTCATCAGTCGCGCAGATTAAGATGAGTCGATGGTGCACTTAACCAAATTCCCATCATTTTGCAGCACCAACCAAGAAATATGATAAGTATAAGAAACATTAATGAACTATTGGTATGACGTATAATATTGGGTTTATGTTATGTATTTTTATCTTGACCACAAATATGAGGGACTTGGAGGACGAGGCGTATAAGCCCAGTTTTTGCTCTTTCGAGAAATACGTATTCCAAGTTTCGTAAGCGCACGGATCCTTATGGCTGAAAGAAAGTTCAAACCAACTTTTTGATGCTTGAACATTGGAATTTGGGAGCGAAATTTTCTCAAGATATGTTTTTAGACTAGTTTTATTTCAAATCATTAATATCTTAATTTTGTCAAGAACTGCACTTATGCGCCTTGCCCTCCGAGTCCCTCAAATGGCTTTTGCGCTGCTCATCAAAGCATATCTTATCTACTAGGGTTCTTTCTCTTTTAATGGTGATAATTTCCTTGATTTCCTTTTATTACAGCCTTAACCAAAACAAGACAGTCTCAATTGAATTCAATAGAAATTTAAGACCTTTTTCCTAAGGAAGATCGCAACGTCGAACTGAAAGTTGCGCGTTAGCCAACCGTAAACTTTTAACAGTAGCGTGGCGCATCGTCTTCAGAGGGTGTTCTTAAACTAGACGCTTAAATTAGCACCTACCAGCATGAAACTCCGCGTTGATGTATCCTTAATACTATTTCACCGTTCTGATGAAAGCTGCACTAGAAAGTGCATAAAGTTTTTTCTTTCCGTTTGCAAATTCGGTGTCCAATAGTCACAAGAATAAAACACAAATTATATTAAATGTAAAGACTTATAGCGAATATAAAAATAATACTATCAGCAAACGCTTTCAAATGTTTGACATTTCTGTCAACGTGATATTTCGATATAGCGACTCATCTCAAATTTATGGCACAGCGATCATTTTACACCTCACATGTGTAGGTTTCACGGATGAATTAACTTGTAGAAAGCAGGAATGAGAGGATGCAAGCATGCATCTCATCGTCAATTTCATTCCCACAATTTAAGGTAAATTTGAAAATATTCGCCTAGGAGACCGTAAATTCTGAGTGTCAACCCGATTAGTTTCATTTGAATCAGCTGAGATCGGTCGCATTGCAAATATATCTCATGTGTACTTTTACCATCGAAGTAGTTTTTTTTCTGATCTAGATATTTACGGTTCTCCTACAAGGTTGCAATGTTTTATGAGACTCGTGATTTTTTCACTACAGCACTCGAATTATGGCTCAAGTAGACCCAATAAATTCAAATGGTTTGGTGCTTTCCTCACATATTTGGAGCAAACCATTCCGTCTTTAACCATCTATGCAAAAATCTGGTACGTCAAATTCTCCCATTTCAAAAAATGAATCAAGCTCTGTAGAATTTAAAACATAATGATCTCGAAATAGTTTTCTTGAAATTGTGTGTTGATCTGTGTCTCATACCGCCTGAACCGAATCACATTTCCTGCGAATCCGGCACGATCAAGAGACAATTTTGTCGGGCCCTTTATACGAGCATGACAAGATCGCGTGTATTGAACACAACACATTACTCCTCTGCCGCATAAAGCAGTGGCGTGGTGTGCTTTACGATGTATCGATTGTTATGCCATTTAAACCAATGGAAAAGGATCGATGAACAGAATGTTCGCAGCGATCGATTCTTTACCATAAGTTTAAATGGCATAACAATCGATACATCGCAATTCACGCCACGCCACTGGCATAAAGGCGTATCACTGTCTCCGCATGAGCTCCCAAGAGCATCGAGCATCGAGTTATACGGAGAATAGGTTTCCCGTTTAAAGTGAGATACGCCCTTCTTTACGAGAAACGACGAACAGTGGCGGAGCGTGAATAATCGGGTATCGATATTTCCCTATTTGAAACTTCGAGTAGTAATCGACAATCGTTCGTTGAGAAGACAGTGGTAA